GAGGAGGAGGAGAAGGAGGAGGAGGAGGAGGAGGAGGAGGAGGAGGAGGAGGAGGAGGAGGAGGAGGAGGAGGAGGAGGAGGAGGAGGAGGAGGAGGAGGAGGAGGAGAAGGAGGAGGAGGAGGAGGAGGAGGAGGAGGAGGAGAGAGGAGGAGAAGGAGGAGAAGGAGGAGGAGGAGGAGGAGGAGGAGGAGGAGGAGGAGGAGGAGGAGGAGGAGGAGGAGGAGGAGGAGGAGGAGGAGGAGGAGGAGGAGGAGGAGGAGGAGAGGAGGAGGAGAGGAGGAGGAGGAGGAGGAGGAGGAGGAGGAGGAGGAGGAGGAGGAGGAGGAGGAGGAGGAGGAGGAGGAGGAGGAGGAAGAGGAGGAAGAGGAGGAGGAGGAGGAAGAGAAGGAGGAAGAGAAGGATGAGGAAGAGGAGGAGGAGGAAGAGAAGGAGGAAGAGAAGGAGGAGGAGGAGAAAGATGAAAGAAAGAATAACGAAAACAACAAGAACACACGAACCTTCAGCATCTAAGGACTGCGCAACTCTCACATTTCCCTGAGGTTTCACTCTTGGTACTGACACAGAGGACGAGAGGCGCATGGATTTCATTGCTCCCTGTCAAGAGAAACAATCTTATCCTAAGCTTCTTCTTTCTTGTTCTTACTTCTCTATTTACCAATACTATCCAATATCAAGCCAGATATTTTTATTACAGATATTATAATTATTATGGTGTTATTGACATTATTAACAACAATATTAGATACCATAAATATTATCAAATATCAAGGACAAGGGTAAACAGGTGAGAGCCATGTGTGTAAACACAACTAATAAATTAAACTCACAGTGGGTACGGCATGTACGTACATGCCATCCCCAGCGGCTCTGGGTCAACAGAGACAATACACATTCAAACATATTACAAAAGTGTGTATATTGTTTACTTTACAAAACCTATACATACATCAATAAACACCAAAGAGTACGTCTTTTCTTGGAAAATGCTCCTGAAGTAAGGTTTCATAAATTAATTACCATGCTCCTTTTTCATGAAATGATCAAAATAAAAACCTAAATTGATATGGACCCCTGACACTTGGTACTGAATAAATGACTTTGATGAAAACAACAGCTGGTTAGTTTCTCAAGCTAAAGCTAATGTCTGGTAAAATCTCTGGTAAAGTCAGGCAAGGATCACAGCATTCATCAGTGTGCACTGTTCAAATATCCAGAATGTGGTCAGGTGCATTACCTGTGACTATCTACCATAACATGATGAGTATGTCTCCTGTAGCCAATGGGTTAAAAGTTTTATTTCTTCATATAAATGAGAAGAGCCCTAGAACCATACTTTAGGCCCTGAAAACGGTTATTATGTATCAAATCCATCAGATATATAAAACCCTCAAGTTTGAAAGCTTACCGTGATTCCCTGTGCTTGGCTCATGCCCATTGGCTGCGAAATCCTATTCTGAATGTTGACCAACGGCGGCAGAGCTGTGTCTGGTTCCTCTTGAGCCTCATCGAGGTCCTCCTCTTCTCGAAACAGGTGGTCCTCATCCCTATCCCTGTCCATGGAACTCATTTCACTGAGTGGTCCTCTTGCTCCTTCTAAGTCCAAGGAAGCTACGGGGTCTTCTTCTCCTTGCAAATCTAGGGCAGTCTGGAATTTGGAGCAAAAAAATAATAATAATTGTTTAAAAAATAAAAAATTGTTCTGGCCATTGACTTTCCCCCCTATTTTGCTTGTGCAGGAAAATCCAATACATCAGTTACCAAAATGTATAACAGAATTTGGTTTGCATTTGGCTTTCATAACGCAATAAAATTTAGAATTTAACAGCAAAATAAATAGATGTTAAGAACAATACAGTGTTTCCTTGAGGGAGAAATTCCATTTACTTTCCCTTCTGCATTAACCCATTGGATCCAGGTGATGTGAAAAATCTAGTCAAAGGGTGGGTGACATGAAAATGCCTTCACAATAAAATCTGGCTATAGGCTGGGTGACGCAAACCTGGCATCATGAGCGTTGCAACTGAAGGGTGATGTAAAAAACTCACTTAAAGTGCACAAACCTATTGGGAGGTTTATTTTACTCATTTGGGTGATTTTGCATTATTCTCATCGGTGTACAAGTATGGAATGAAATGTCCATGACTGGAAGAGAGCCGGCTCCGTGGAGAATGCCATTTCCATGCTCAGTATCCTATTCCTGGCACAGTGAGCAACGATGCAGGTCGTTTAACAGAAAATTGAAATGACAAAAGTAATATAGTACTACGAAGTTTTATTTTTCTTGCACTGAGATGATTGGAGTCTGTGCAAAGAAAAAAAAATCTATTACCATCTGGATAATGCAAATCAAATAGCAAATATAGACACTGCAAGATGGCCAAAAATCTAAAAATGTGTAAGCATGACCAGAGTCAATAACTTTGCAAATAGGAGGCACAGAGTCTCGCCACCACACACAAATGTTCACATGTGTGCCCAGCCTACAAGCAGCCACCCAGCAGAGCGCTGATCATGTAAGCCTAATGCCCTGATTTCTGGCGATGCAACTGCCGTGACGTAACCAGATCCAATGGGTTAACAATCCTTAGAAAGCCTTTATTATAAAGCTGCTAACCTAACCCTTAGTAGCTGAGAATTGATATCCACATTTCAAAATATATATACAACCACATTAAAAAAAACATCTGATTATCATGTCCAAAATTTTATACTGTATCACAAGAATCTTTATATTGAGCAATTAAAAGAATGGTAGCATAAATGTAATAAATTCTACATGAAGTTAAGACGTGATTTCTGTTGCTTTATGGTAAGAGTCATGTCTAGGATGAAGAGAAAATGAATACATCAATAGCTCTTTCCTAATGTGTCCATATACATCCCTTTTCACAATTCAGTTCTCACACTTGGTAGCATTTCCTATATTCCTATTAAAAAAAAGGTAGTATCTATCCACTCAAATACCAGAAACTTGATGATATGTTAGATAAAATTCCTATTAAAAATTTATTAATAACAGGAAAAGAGGTTGCATATGTTTCCTAGAAAAATATCTTATTTCTATTCCAAGTAAGATATTTTTTTAGGAAACATATGCAAGCTCTTTTACTTTTTATAATACATTTTTAATAGGAATTTTATAACATATCATCAAGTATCTGGTATTTGAGTGGATAAATACTACCTTTTTTCAAAGATATATACTATGCTTAAGATTTTTAGTCTAAAAAAATATATCCAAATTATATATTGAAACAATTTCACTAGCTTGTGCATGAGTTGTGCATTCATCTGCATAGTTTTTAACAAGAAAATGTTAGAATTAACCAATAGCAATATAAGAATTAAAATAAAATATTGCAATTAATATGGTCAAGTTCCCTTTCTGATATAAGCAACAGCTGGTGCAACTAATCATTTCAGTTACACAAAAAGCTTTACATGATTGTTCAAATCCTAGTAGATGTAAAAAAAAATTCACTGAAATAATAATCTAAAAAAAAGCGCACATCTATATCTAAGGAAATAAAAGCAAAACAAAACTGGAAGGAAGAAAACCACAGCATTAATAAAAAGTAACAATATCTGCAGAACCACTCCTCTTCCATCTACATGAGAGGGCACACTACACCATAGCCATACCTGAACATTAGCAAGGAGTCTCATAATAGTCTGTCTGTCTCTGCGTGTGCGAGCCTGGAGGGCATTGAGGGCCGCCTGCTGTTGGTCAGTGTATTGCCGAATGTTAGCCTCTACCTGCGCCTCAGCTTTTTTTAGGAACTTAGCAACCTGAATGCATGAGGGTAGAGAACCAGTATAAGAAAAGGATCCATTTCTCACTAAAAGACAATTGAAAAAAAGAAATACAAAAGGAAAAAGAAAAACAAAAAAGAGAAGGGGGAAAGGATCAGAGGGAGGGAGAGAGAAAGAGAAAGAGAGAAAGAGAGAAAGAGAGAAAGAATTATATTATTAAGCGTATATAAGAGGAAAGTCAAAGATGCATATATACCAGGAAAAAGACCAGATTAATGAAGAAAAAAATAAAGAGTTCAAAAGTGGAATATGTGGAATGCAAAATTATATAAAACTATGATTTTCACGAACCATCCTTCCATCCATATCTATAATCTTAAATCATTTATAGCCTTCAAGAAAAATGGTTAGTTTAACCTACATCCTTATAAAGGTAATATGCACAGCAAAAGAGACATCATGAAATGTGGCCATCACGAAAAATGGGTAAGCATTAAGAAAACATATGGTAAACAATTCCTTAATTACTTGCACACCTTACAGATCACATTCCTCACTGTCATTTGTACTATAAATATGACATACATTTTTTGTAAGCATTTTTCACAAGCATTTTTCCCCAAGTCAGGGTTTACCATTATGTATGGAATTCTTCTAATAAGTTTCAAAGCAACATTTCCAGATAAATCTTGTTGTCATACCTTTTCTTTACTCATCATTGATCCCAGGTACAAGTAATGTTCATTATAGATTTGTTGGATGGCTCAGAAGTGCTCAGTCACCAAGGAGAGTCAATTACACTAGGCCTATTGTAACCTCATTAGATTTCCTCTTTCCTCAAGCCTGTGGCAATTTTTTTTTTCTAATGTATATAACCCAACTGCCCCAGATTTAGGTTCTGCCCCCTGTAGTTTTTGGGGAATTTTGTTACATATAGATGGCTCCACATGTGCCCAACCAGCAAGGACCAATCCTGATTTCCTCATTCCTTGAAATTGTGGGAAAATGTGTTTTTCTTTCTGATACTATTCATATTGATACTGTTATTATCAAATTGTTATTAAAGTATTGGTTACATTAAAGACAATGAAATAATAGAAAAGAAACTTTCCAAAACTAATGGAAAAGGGTAAAGATGTGTGATAGGTAGGACTAACATCTGACTACTTGGTGAGTAAACGCTAGTAGAGCCATCTATATGTAAATACAAAAAATAAATTAATATTACAGTAGGCATGGCATGTATTCTTGCCATCCATGCTGATTGGGTTCATCTTCCACTAAAATAGACCAAAAATTGTTTGAGTGCACATTTCCTGACTCGTAATACAACTAAAATAAACATAACAAGGAATACCTTCTCACATAACTGTCTGCTATAGTAAAGTCAGAACCAGCAAGAAAAGATAAAATCTACAACTAACTAACTGGAGATACGTGACAAGGAGAAAACACCAGGAATTCTTCACTTATGACATCAAATAAGTTCATGTCTCCTAGTGCTATTTAGTAAAACTCTTAGAGCTGTCTACATCCACTACTTCATCGCTAATGTTTCACAATTTGCTAAATTTAGGAACAAGAGTAATTGATACCATAATAAAAAAGGAAGAAAATCATAGCTTAATAACAATAAAGCTCAATTATTTTGGCCTTACATAAAGAGCCAGACAGATGATTCCAGTAAAAAAGAAGTTAACTAAAGCCAAGCTAATAAGACAAAGATTAAACACGAGGTCTGATGAATGTTGCAAAAGACACTGCTTTCCTGCCCAAACTAGACTTCCTCCCTGGCAAGATAAATCCAGTACAAACACCTTTCACTAACAAAAAAGTTGTTGTACAATCTTATATCAGACCAAGAGCTGTAGCAGTGCTCTGAAATTATCTATTCCATAAAAAGGTATGATGACAATGGAAATAGTTAACCATATATAGCTGCATACTTTGTGATGAGTGCTGAAATATATATAGTTCTCTATCTTTAATTATTCATAACTATTCATATTCTGCACATAGTTTATAAACCTGCAGTCTAAACCATGTACACTGTACATTAGCTATTCTACCAGGACAAAATACAATTACAAGTAAAACCACCTACAAAAATCACAACAACAGATTAAAACAGATTCCATATGAACCTCCAAAAGGTATCATATCTGTCACATTCACCTGTAACATGTGGGACTTCATTTCCTTATTACCTGTTGTTGAATGGATCTCAACGCCTCTTCTGTGCGAGAGCTACGTTCGTCCGAGAAATCCGTAGGAGAAAGTGGTGGCAGCGGTCGGTTATCTATGGATGTTGGGAGAACCATACAAAACACAGGGGAATAACCTTCGCATCTCTGCAGCATCTGGATCTTATTGGCATCATTCTGTTGCAAAATCAAGCAAAATGAATAAAGCAGAAAAAATCTACTGGCTACCTAAATGCTACATCGACCTTCTTGTGACAAGACTATGCATGCGTTCATGTAAAACAATAAAGACTGTATTCCAAAGTGCACCCCTTTTCCTGTGCTCAGCAAAGAACTCACAGTCATAAAGGTGCTAACAGCCAGGGAGCTATTGGTGTTGTGGTAAGCATGGGTAAGGAGATGGCAGTTAAGGCACTCGTTTACTGTCCAACCACCGACACGAGTGCTGCGGATGAGGAACTTCTGGCCCTGTGAAATTCCGCCGAGGTTCAGGTTGGCCAAACACGCTCCCTGCAATGAAAATTTGCAATGACAGCCACAAAATTCCCTCATGTTGAATGTTGATTGCTACAGAATGATGCATAAACACACACTCAACCAATGCATAAAAATCTCCTGAAATAAAAAAAATCTACTAACATTAACTAAATGATAATCCACATTAATTCATCACTGCTATTATTTACTGAAACAGCCAACATTCTTTATGGTGACAATCAAAACAACAGATAGTGAGAATAATAATAAAAAATTAATAAGGATTATATTCACAGATATTAAAGAATTATCTAATGAATATTATTATTAAATGTGACATCTGTTGTAAAACTTTTAAAAATTGACAACCTGAAACAAATGAGTGGTGGTGATGATGATAATGATAATGATGATGATAAAGATGATAATGAATATAATAATGTTATTGTGTGTGTGTGTGTGTGTGGGGGGGGGGGGGGGGTCCATGTACATGTGCATATGCACGTGTGTGTGTGTGTGTGTGTGTGTGTGTGTGTGTGTGTGTGTGTGTGTGTGTGTGTGTGTGTGTGTGTGTGTGCGCGCTGTGCGCATGTGGGTGTGTGCGTGGGTGTGAGTGTCTGTTTGAGTGTGTAAGGGTGAGGGTCTGTTTGAGTGTGTGAGGGTGAGGGTGAGGGTGAGGGTGAGGGTGAGGGTGAGGGTGAGGGTGAGGGTGAGGGTGAGGGTGAGGGTGAGGGTGAGGGTCAGGGTCAGGGTGAGAGTGAGGGTGAGGGTGAGGGTGAGGGTGATGGCAAGGGTGTGGATATGGGTAAGGGTGTGTATGTGTGCGCGTGTGCGTGCAAGTGTGTGCATGTGTTGTACATGTGCAAATGCATGGGCATGTGCACATGTTCATGTTCTTAGATTAACAGACAGGCAAGTGGATAGATAGATAGATAGACAGATTAAATAAATAAATAAATAAATAAATAAATAAATATATAAATAAATAAAAAGACAGATAGATAGACTGGGTCAGACTGGCCGATAGACAGATAGACAAATATAGACAGAGAGATAGACAAATA